GACTCAAAGTTTAACTTGTCTACAAAGGATAGCACACCCGGATGGTTATAGACAATAGGTTATTTTGCTTGTTTATTTTAAAGGTTTTTTTTTTTTTAATTTGACAGGCAGACTTAGAAAGAGAGAGACAGAGAGAAAGGTCTTCCTTCCATTGGTTCACCCACCAAATGGCTGCCACAGCTGCACACTGTGCCAATCTGAAGCCAGGAGCCAGGTGCTTCCTCCTGGTCTCCCATGGGGGTGCAGGGCCCAAGCACTTGGGCCATCCTCCACTGCCCTCCCAGGCCACAGCAGAGAGCTGGACTGGAAGATGAGCAACTGGGACTAGAACCTGGTGCCCATATGGGATGCTGGCACTGCAGGCAGAGGATTAACCAAGTGGGCCATGGTGCCAGCCCCTTGCTTGGTTATTTTAAAACAAGGCCTATTCTTCATACAAATAAATGTTAATTTGTAACTGGCCCATTTCTAGCTTCTGTACCTCTGCTTGCTTGATAATGGCCAAGGCCACTAGACTGTGGTTTCTCCTCTCTACTCCTGGCTGCAGCCGCAAGATAACACAGGTGGCACCAAGATCAGTGATGCCATGCTTGACCCCGACCAGGAACAACTGAATAATTGAATCATTATATTTTTCAATAAGGTTACAAAAACCTGGCTGATTGGCTAGCTGCTTCTCTCTTCTGTATGCCTGCTTTTTTCTTGCACAAGCTCAAGCGCATAATCAAATGTCTGATAAAAAGTAGATTTTTTCCTTTAAAAACTCCCCACCACTGCAACTCGCTACTGTCTTCTCTGGACTAGCTCTGTGAGAGGGCAGTCTCCAGCTGGCTAATAAAGACTCCTAATTCTACCCAAAAGTCTTGCTGTGTTTTTAATCTGTGCACTCCACAACACTAGAATGGGCTGTTGTGGGCAATTGGAAAGTAAACCAGTGAAAGAAAGACCTCTCTCTCCCTCTCTGTCTCTGTCTTTGTCTCTCTCTCTGTGTGTATGTGTGTATCCCTCTGTCATTCTGCCTTTCAAATAAGTAAATACTTTAGAACAAAATATATTTATATATGCATATATATATATATATATATACATATGATGCTATTCATGTTCCTGGAAAATGGTTTTCAGAGGGAGTCTTCAGTGGAGAAGTTTTTATTTATTTTTTATTTTTTGACAGGCAGAGTGGACAGTGAGAGAGAGAGACAGAGAGAAAGGTCTTCCTTTTGCCGTTGGTTCACCCTCCAGTGGCCGCCGCGGCCAGTGTGCTGTGGCCGGCGCACCGCGCTGATCCAATGGCAGAAGCCAGGTACTCATCCTGGTCTCCCATGGGGTGCAGGGCCCAAGCACTTGGACCATCTTCCACTCTACTCCCTGGCCACAGCAGAGGGCTGGCCTGGAAGAGGGGCAACCGGGACAGAATCCGGCACCCCGACCAGGGATTAGAACCCGGTGTGCCGGTGCCGCAAGGCGGAGGATTAGCCTGGTGAGCCGCAGTGCTGGCCTGAAGTTTTTTTATATATATTTTATTTATTTGAGAGGATTAGTTTCAGACAGAGAGAGGGAGAGACAGAGAAAAAGGTCTTCCATCTGCTGGTTCACTCCCCAACTGGCCGGAGCTGAGCCAATCCTAAACCAGGAGCCAGGAGCTTCTTTGGGGTCTCTCACATGGATACAGGGGCCCAAGGACTTGGGCCATCTTCCAGTGATTTTCCAGGCCATAGCAGAGAGCTGGATCAGAAGAGGAGCAGCTGGGATGAGTGACCCGGCACTGGTACAGGGCGCCTGCACCATAGGTGGAGACAGCCTACTGTGCCACAGCCCCGGCCCCCAGTGGAGAAGTTCTTGATTCACAATCAAAGAGAATGTGTTCTCAGTGAAGCTCTAGAACTCTATTTGAAAGTATATAAAGTGAATGAACTCATATATTAACTTTAAAAATACTTTGGCAGATACAAAACAAGAATTGAAAATCGGCAATGCAATTTTTGAAATGTTGACCCATTTTCCTTTCGCAGGTTATTAAGTTTTCATTCAGGCAGCAGCCTCTGAGCTCACTGCTCTGGGGAAATGGGTGAAAGGACGGGAACACGGTAGTGAGTGAGGGCCAGGGGGTCCTGGCTGCAGATTCTAGCAACTCCAGGCCTGCGGTGGTGAAGAAGTGTCTGGGTGTCAGCTGCATGTTCTGGAGAACCATGATCACAGCCAGTGGTCTCCGATCCAAACCCTGGTGAACCAAGAGCGGGTTGAGGAGGGCAGAGCGGATGTGCAGCTCTGAAGGAGAAGTAGTAATGGGGAGGACCCCACTCTGCTGCCACAGGTCATTCCGCACCCTCCCTTTCATCCTGTGACTCTGCTGTGACCCATTCCTGGCTCTCATCTGAGAGTTCTTTCTCTAACATATTACAGAAGATGGACATTTTCCTCAGCTGTATGGACCCTTCTTGCAGTTAATAGATTTTCAGTCTTCTAACTAGCTACAGGAAGTTGAGAATTAAGAGACCTTTATTTTGAAATTTGAGCAAGCACAATGCCCTTTAGTTCGAACTGTCAGGACTTTCTTGAGTGTAACTATTTTAACAACTCCGTGTGTTACCTAGGTACACGACATGAATTCACTAATGTTAGGAAACTGGCGCAGTCTTATCTGTGGTGTGATCTACACCTTGATTTACATTCGATACCCTGGTTCCCGCCACCATTGCTGGAAGCCAGGTGGCCACATGGCCCAAACTACCTGTGCCAAGCTCCACCCCCAACCTAATGGGATTCGCTGCTCCTGCTTCCCTGCCCGCCCTCCGGCAAAGTTTTAAAAGGACCTGTTCCTGAACACATGGCTCTCTCTTGACTCTCTTGGCTCTTCTCTCTGCTCTATCTTCTCTCCTCACTGTCTCCTCTCCTTTGTCTCTCTCTCTCTCTTATACTCACCTCTCCCTTTTCCCTCTTCACCCCTTCCCTCCAGTCTGCTGGTTTCCCCCAATAAATTCTTTCCCTTACTCTGGTGTTTGGTGTGTTTTGTGATGGCTAACATTAATATATAACAACTACATCTAAAAAAACCACACTCATAGTTTGTTTTTTTAAGGTTTATTTATTTATTCAAAAATCAGAGTTACGCAGAAAGCGGAGAGGCAGAGAGAGAGGTCTTCCATCTGATGGTTCACTCCCCAGTTGGCTGCAATGGCCGGAGCTGTGCTGATCCAAAACCAGGAGCCAGGAGCTTCTTTCAGGTCTCCCACATGGGTGCAGGGGCCCAAGGACTTGGGCCATCTCCCACTGCTTTCCCAGGCTATAGCAGAGAGCTGGATCAGAAGTGGAGCAGCCAGGACTTGAACCAGCACCCATATGGGATGCTGGCACTACAAGCAGCAGCTTAACCTTCTACACCACAGCGCCTCACAGTAGTTTTTGAAAGAGCCTTCGATTCCCATTGGCATGTTAGGGGACACAGCACTGTTACAATTATTGGGTGTTCTTTGGGAAGTCTTACAAGATCACTAAACACCACCTTGTCTTTTTTTTTAACTTTTTAAAACAGCATTTGTATTTATTTGAGAGGCAGAGTTAGAGACACAGAGAGGAAGAGACAGAGAAAGGTCTTCTTCCATCCACCGATTCACTCCCCAAATGGCCTCGATGGCCAGAGCTGGGCCAATGTGAAACCAGGAACGAGGAGTTTTTTCCAGATCTCCCACGTGAGTGCAGGGATCCATGCACTTGGGTCATCTTCCTTTGCTTTCTCAAGTGCATTAACAGGGAGCTGGATCAGAAAATAGCAGCCAGGACTCAAACCGGTACCCATATGGGAAGCCTACTGCATCATAGCAGTAGCCCTTAGCTCTTCAACAAAAGGTGTTACCATCACTCATTAGAGCTTTCCATTAAGGTCATTTCTCACCTTGAGGGTATTTTGCTGCCTGGACAAAGGGTTTTATTTTCAAACCTAGCAAGTACTATCTTTTCCCCACTTCCTCTAGCTGCCCCAGAGGAACAGGGAAGTTCCTAAAGAAACTAAAAACAGAAATACCATATGACCCAGCCATTCAGTCTCCTGGATCTATACCCTGAGGACATGAACTCACTCCCTCAAAGATATCTGCACTCCAATATTTACTGCAGTGGTATTCACAATAGCAAAGCTGTAGAATCAATAGGTAAGGAAATAGCCATAGGTGTTATAAATAGCCATAGGGATATCACTCAGCCTTTCTAAAACAGAAGATCCTGCCATTTGTCACAAAGTGGATGAAGCCAAGGAATATTGTGTTAGGTGAAATAACACAGATGCAAGAAGAAAACTACTGCATGATCTCACTTATACAGGAAGTCTGAAAGAACAGGAAGTCAAATCTACAGATGTCATGAGTAAAATAGTGGTCACTAAGGATGAATGGGGGCAGGTGAGAAATGAGGCGTACGTCAAAGGGTACAAGGTAGGATGACCAAGTCTGGAGATGTCAAGTACAACATGTGGGCTGTGGTTATATTGTAGCACATTTGGGATTTTTGCTGAATGCCTCAATCCCAGCTGTTCTGGTCATACATATCCATAAGTGGATCACTGTGACAAACTGTGTTAACACGCCTCCCCAAGGTACCTGTAGCTACTATGCATGTTATACCACATATATAAAGCCTTTATGAGTCTCAAAGCACTCTATACCCTAAATATACACAGTGATATTTGTTTTAAAAAACTAAGAGTTTCTGGGGCTGACATTGTGGTGGGCACTGTTTTGGTTCATATCCTGGCTGCTCTACTTCCAGTGCAGGATCTGAATCAGGATAAGCAGTGGAAGATAGCTCTGTGGGATACCCAGATGAAGCTCCTGGCTCCTGGCTTCGGCCTAGCCCAGCCCTGGCCACTGCAGCCATCAAGTGAATGAACCAGTGGGTGGAAGAGCTTCCTCTCTTTCTGAATCCCAAAATTAAGAGGCTTCCAAGAGCTCCCAATCGACATGAGTGATCTGCTCTGGAAGGTCTGAGAAAGAAGCCAGGCAGCTGGAGTCAAATTCAACAAAGGATGGAAAGAATGGCACCTCTCAGCCAAGAGGGATTCATTCAAAACATGTAAGACTGGTTAAGCAATCCAAAAGGCATCGAGGCGATCCCACATATCAACAGACAGAAGGGGATGCATAACCAGACCATGGACCATATGCAAGGACACAGAAAAATCAGTTGACAAATGTAATACCATCCAAGGTAAATAATAATAATAATAATAAATTCCTAACACAATAGAGTACAGGGGAATTCCCTCAACTTGGTAAATAACGCCTTCAATGAAACTCACCTGACAGCAGTTATAATGGGGGTAAACAGGAAGCTTTCCCACTCTGACCAGGAAAAGGACAAGGACATCCCTCCTTGCCACTCCATCCCCACATCCTACAGGAGGACCTAGAAAAGGCAGTTAAGACAAGAACTAGAAACACAAGGCACTGCATTTAGCAATGAAAACATAAGACTTTATTTAGAGATGATCTGATTATTTATGTAGAGATTCCAAAAGGATCAGCAAAGAATAAGCCTCCAGGAATTAATGATCAATCATAATGTTTGCACAGTAAACTTTGATCTTCAGTAATCAATTGCTTTCCTACCTACTCACAGTTAACTAGATGGATTTGAAATTAACAACATCTTACAATTCACATTACCTCCCAAAAGAAACATCTGGGTATACTTCCAACAAAATATGCAAGATCTCTATGAGGATCACCACGAAGCTCCTAAAAAAGTCTCAAGGAAGAACATTTGGAGACACATTCTATGGTCATGGATTGGAAGACTCAATCTAGCCAAGATATCTGTATTTCTTCACTTGATAGACCAACACAGTCTCAATCAAAATCCTATCAACGGGGCCAGCGCTGTGACGTAGCGGATGCTGGCATTCCATACAGGCGCTGGTTTGAGTCCTGGCTGCTCCACTTCCAATCTAGCTCTCTACTATGGCCTGGGAAAGCAGAAGATGGTCCAATTGCTTGGGCCCCTACCATCCATATGGGAGAATCAGATGAAGGTCAGGGCTCCTGGCTTCAGATCAGCACAGTTCCAGCTGTTGTGGCCAATTGGGGAGTGAACCAGCAGATGGAAGACCTCTCTCTCTCTCTCTCTCTCGCTCTCTGTCTCTCTCTGCCTCTCCTTCTCTGTGTAACTCTGTGAAATAAATACATATTTTTAAAAAATCCTATCAAGATGTTTTACAATTACCAAACTGATTTTAAAATGTGTGTGGGGATGAAGATACCCCGAACATCCCACCGCCCATAATTGAAGATGAACACACTGGAGGACTGATGTGTCACAGCTTCCCTAACTTATGAGACAGCCAATCATGGCAATGTGGGACTGGTGAGAGTCAGAATGGTAACCCCAGAAGAGACCTTCACGAATACAGTTATCAGACCTTTGACAGGAAAGCAAAGTGATACAATGGAGAAAGTCTTCTTAAGGGAACCAGGTTTGCGAAATCTCCATTCCAGGAGAGGGCAAAGGACTGTCACCAAAGGCAGGTGGCTTTCAATGGAGATGGATGCCTGCAGGTCACCCTCCATATGGCTGGCCAGGGGAGGATGGTTGGAGGCCATAGGCACCAGGAAAGTCTCTAGGTGTGTGTTCCTATTAGTAACACTGTTTAGGGCATGCGCCTGGACAGGTGGACTGCCTGCACATTGCTGAGTACACTGCGGTCCACCCAAGAAGCCAGGGCAGAGCAGGGAGCACAGGACAGGCTTGACCTGGACAGGGGCCTTCCCATCCACTTTGCCTGCCCTGTAGCAGCCTTGCCTGCAAGCTCATCCTGTAGCTCACATCTTCCCCCAGATGAGGAGAAGAAGCTGGTGAAGACTCCAAAACGTGATCTTATGGTTCCCAGGAACAAGAAGGACCACCCTTGGAACGGAGGCAGGCACAGGACTGGCCCATAGCTGTGGTTCCCCAGCCTGGAGAGATGAGGCAGTTGTCAAAGTCTATCTCATCGCCTTCTGGCCTCAGCATGATTCTGCAAAAAGCACCCTGTGAGGACCAGTGATTCTGAGCCCTTGGGGTCCTGTCACTGACACAGCCATGGCTCATTCGAGAACAGAGTACAGAGTGGTCAGCTCCAAACCAGACACAACACCTAGAGAATCCTGGGCCTTCCAGATCCAGGGAAAAATGGCTATGGCCTAACCTGCCCCATTGGGATGACCCAGGTGGCTTCTGATGAACAGGGCCTAGTCACCTTTTAGAGGTCATGTGGGTTGAGGAAGGGGCTACAAGTGTTGCAACCCTTGGAGAACTGGGATGCTATCTCTGCCCAAGGCAGGGTTCCAGACTCCTTCGCTGTGGAGGCACCAGGCCAGGAGCCTCTGAGCCAGGAGTCTCTTCTCCCAACATCTGGATCCTCGGCCCGATATGAGGCAGGATGAGGCCACTCAGGAAGGGGGAGAGGAGCTCCAGAGAGGAGCCTTATCAACTGGGGAGGCCACAGGGCATAGACAAGCTAGGCTTCTGGCCCGAGATGAGCTAGCGTGAGGCTGCTCAGGGTAGGGGAGAGGAGCTCTAGAGAGGAGCCTCCTCCATTGTGGAGGCCGCCGTGCAAAAAGAAGCTAGGCTTCTGGCCCGTCTGAGCTGGACACCTGCTGGGCTCTTCTTCCCCTCCAGGCACCCACACACATCCAGCTGCTCCATGGAGTGGGCAGCAAGGAGGCCTCCAGCCAGGGAGGGCACGCAGGCCTGGTCTCCCAGCACAGGGCTGGCTCCTGCAGGCTCCAGCCCGTGACTGTCCCCAGAGTGCATGGGGCTCCCATGTAGGGAGGGAGTCTTCAGCCCTGCTCCCAGGGCCGGCACAGCCTGCATGGACCAGGGGCTCCAAGGCAGGTTGGGGAGAGGAACTGAGACCCTGCTGGCCACCCAGCTCCAGGGGCCAGAAATCAGCGCCTTTGACAGGCGGGCTGAGATTTGGGAGGCCCCCCCATCAGGACAGGTCTCCCCTGCTCTGCAAGCTCTGTGGGGCCGGGAGGCCCGGGCCAAGCAGAGACTCTGAGGACTTCACAGACAGGGCTGGGGATGAGGGCTCCGGGGAGGCACCCTCTTCATGGCCTCCCTCCTTGTCCTCTTCAAAAATCATCTAGGGCAGGACAAATCCCAGGTCCCGCATAGCTTTGGCAAGGGAGACACAGGGCACTCAGCAGCCCGGTCTTCTTCCTCCTCTTCATTCTCTTTCTGCTCCTCCAGGAAGCTGGAGGACTCCTCGTCGTCAGAGTCAGAGTCATCATCTTTGAAGGTCATGTTGAGTTTGGTCAGGGAAGTCCAGCGCCGGAGGGGGCCTGGCTCAGCCAGCCAGGAGCACTGGGGGCCTGAGAGGCGAGCAGCACTCCCTGACCCTGAGGCCCCCGCGGAGGAGCCTGGGCCACAGGGCTGGGTGCTGCTCTCGCCACGACTGCCCTTCTCCTCCTTGGCATCTTGCTTGGAGTCGGGCTGGACGGTAGATCTGAGAGGACCGGTCTCCTCGGGGACAGAAGCTGAAGCCCCCACTGGCTCCTGGGGAGCTGCAGCAGTGGGGTGGCAGCCTTTGCTCTCCTCCTTGATGGTCTTGCGCTTGAGGGACACTGATGGGGGAGCGCGCTCCTGAGAGCCAGGCGGCACCTGCAGGGCTGGGCTGCAATCTTCCATTGGCTTTGCTGGAAGAAGAACAGATGGCTTTTGCTTCTCTGTGGCCACCATCTGGCCTGCAGGGTGCCTGCCCCAACCTGACCCTTGGGGTCCCCATTGCTCGGTGGGACACCTCCAGCCTGTGGGCCCCAGAGGGAATGGTGCATGCAGCCTGGGCCATTGGAGTCCTGAGGACACCTCTGGTTCTTCCTGCAAGGCTCCATGGGCTGGACACTCCTTGATCCCCCCACTCACTCTCTCATCTGTGGGGACCACTGGCACCAACTCAGGACCCTGTCACCTACCCCACCTGACCTCCTGTGCCCTATAAGGCATTGGCTGAGTTACCCGCATCTGAGTCCCTCCTAAATTGTAGGAAAGGAACTGAGCCTAAGATGATGGGGGTGAGCGCTGGGGCTGTGGGAGAGACATGGAGACTCGTTCAGGCCCTCAGGGACAGAGAATGCGGTTTCCAAAGAGGTGGGAGGGGTGCCCTGTGTCCTCTGCCCCTGGGCCACTCTCCCTTTCCTGGTGAGACTGGGCTGTCACCGCTTCTGTCCCACGAGCTCCCAGGGGAGGCAGCACCTGAAAGCACAGTGGGGCCACCCCAGTGCCTGAACAGCCTGCCCCTAGGCCCCCACTGCCAGCCTCTAGAGCTGGGACAGACCCATCTCTGCTCTTCATGGGGACCCAGGATCTCAGGCCCTTGATGGCAGCAGCAGCAGGGGATGAGCACGGGTACCCCTCCCCACCAGAGCACACAGGCCAGCGCTGCTCGTGTTGGGCCGAGGCTAGGACTGCAGAGCCCACACTCAGCTGCACTTGGGTTCTGCCACGGGGGCCTGCAGCGCCTGCCTCTGTGCCCACCCTGCTCACAGGAGTGCACTAGGCCCCCACAACTGGGCTCAGGGCACCTGGGCCTTCCAGGGGTCCTCAGATGGCTAAAGGGGATCCAGTACCGGCTGGACCACCCCGCAGGAGGATTCAGGGAAGCTGCCCAAGGCCCCACCAGGCCATGCAGTCAGAGCTTTTGAAAGCAGAGCTGCTGAGCCCGGGGAGGACAAGGAGGATGAGGAAGAGGTGAGGCCCTGGGTGGGGCTGCCACTCCCACTACTGACTCCCCCAAGGGAGAATGGGACGGGCCGGTGTGCTGGACTCACCTTCGGGAGGCAGGAGGCACTGGAGCTTCCCCAGCTCATGCATGGAGGCCCGCAACTGCCTGATGACCACATCTTCTCTCAATGCCCAGGCTGCCTCAGGGTCACCTGCAGGAACCCATGGATGTGGTCCCTGGACATCTTCAGCAGGTGCTCTAGAAGTGGGGGTGGGCATCAGGCTAGGAGGAGCAGCCACCATGGCTGCTCCAACCCTTGTTCCTGCTCCAACTCCTGACCCTGGCCCTGTCCCCTACTTCCTGGCCCTGAGGCTCAGCCTCAGCTTGGACCACCCTCAGCAGGACAGGGCCTGCCTGGTCTGCACAGCAGGCTCCCTCCTGTGTCTGCTGGGGCTGGGGGAGCTCAGCCTTGCTCAGAGTTACAGGACACCAGGTCAAGAGAGCCAGGCACTGGGGAAGGAGCACATGCAGGAACTCCTGGATGTGGTCTTGGGGCATCTTCAACACGGGCTCTAGACATGGGGGTGGGTGTCAGGCTGGGAGGCACCATAGGGATGGTGCAGCCACCATGGCTGCTCCAGCCCCTGTCCCTGCACCAGACATGGGCTGCAGACCCCCTTGGATGCCCATGCATATCAAGCACTAGAGGGGACTGACCAGGGGCCACTTTTCCTGGGGAATGACCTTGGACACTTCTCCCTGTGGACTTTGAGTTTTTGGTGTTGGGGATGAAATGGGATTCTCAATGCCCCCCAAGTGGGCCAAGGACTCAGAAAACTCATTCCTCCCCTAGGTTCTGCTTACCGGAGCCAGGCATGGGACCCCCAACTCCTCCATCCCCAGCACCATGGCCACAGTGGGCCCTGAGGACTTACTTTGATGGATCTTGAGGACCGTGTAGGCCATCATGGTGAGTACGTGTTCACCCTCAAGGATGTAGATATCCCACATTCTAAGTGCCAGGGGGAATGGCACCTGTGGGAGAGCAGGCATTGGAGGACCGTGCCCATCAGGGCATCAGTAGGGTCCACAGGGGGTGGGTGTGTGGTGTCATAGGGCATCCTAGCTGTGGCCTAGACACCCAGAGAGAGAGCACCAAGGACTATCTAGGACCCTGGGGCCACCCAGACTGCTCTGCACACTTTGTAAGCCACACTGGAGATGCCAGACTCCCAGGGACCTGGGGGATGGATCAGCCCTTGGGCTGTGACAACACTAGCCTGTGCCAACGTGGGTCTATGAATCTCCTGCCTCTCACTGTAGGGCTCTGGGCCTTGCCAGGCTCTCAGGATGGGTCTTGGTGGGGCCTGTCCCCTCCTTGCTGGCCCTGAGGCTCAGCCTCATCTTGAACCACACTCAGCAGGACAGGGCCTGCCTGGTCTGCACAGCAGGCTCCCTCCTGTGTCTGCTGGGGCTGGGGGAGCTCAGCCCTGCTCAGAGTCACAGGCCTCCAGGATAAGAGAGTCAGGCACTGGCGCAGGAGCTTCCCTGGGAAGGGGTCCCCGGGGCACTTACCCCACCCAGGAAGCACTGGATGTACCAGTGGGTGGTGTAGTCCTCAAGGTACACACCCTCCTTCTCCTAAGAAGAGGCAGAGGGGGCTCAGGGCCCAGGGCCCAGGCCAGACTCCCTCTACTCTGAGCCCTGTGGCAGAGCCCCTGGGTGCAGGAAGCCCAGCAGCAGGTGCATCCCCCCTCCCAGCCTTGCAGGTTCCTGAAGGGACACAGGTCCCTCATTCCACTCTGCTCTGGGGACAGCATCTCCCTTCAATCTACACATACTCTGGGGGACCTAGTGGTGGAAAACAAACCAATACCCAAGCTTCCGCGGACCCCAGTAGCCAAGGAAAGTCTTGGTGAGTATGTAGCCTCCCCTGGCCCAGGAAGCAGTCAGGACCCCTTTCTGTTCTCCCCTCCCTGAGCACCCGAGAGGAGAAAGGAGATGCTTTACTTACCAGGTGTTTCTCCAGGGAGGGGAGCACACGATGCCTGATATCTCCCAGGTGGTGCTGGAATCACTCCAGTTTTTGGGAGTCTGGTGTGTAGAAATCTGTGTAATAACAACCCCCCAGCCCTCACTTCAGAGTGTCTTCCCAGGAAGGCTGGAAAGCCAAAGGCTTGGGGCGGGGTCTTTCTGAACACGGAGGGTCAGGGGAGGCTCTAACTAGGCAGGGGAGCCTCAGGGGAAGGGAGGTACAGCTGACAGCCCAGGGCAGGCTGCTTAAGGTGACCTCTGGGCTGACTGCAGTCACACTGGGTGCCTCAGGGCCATCTGGATACTCGGAGTGAGGAGGGGATCACCCTACAGTGGATGCTCCTTCTACAAGTTCCCGGGGTGTGGCTCAGTGGGTGGGAATCTGGATAGACATGTGAAGCAGTAACACCAGTAGAGACCTAAGGGTCATTTGTCAAAGACAAGGCACAGGACCTTTGGGTGATGGGAAGTGAGGCATATGGCTTGGTACTGGGCCCTCTGCTGGCCCTGGCTTCTAAGGAACCATCCTGAGGGAGACCGCCCCATGCACGCAGCAGCCAGTGAGGGACAATGTCCCAGTCACTTGTCTGCATGCCCATCCGTGTACTTGCACGGACCACGCCTACCACACCCATCACCCACCATGCATCGCGTGCTGGCTGTCCTCCATGAGCTGGACCAGGGCCCAAAAAGCATCCTCTTCACTCAGCCACATCAGCAGCAGGGCTGCCACGTGGCTTAGGCCCTGGCTGTAGCCCAAGTCCTATAGGAGCACAAAGCACATTGGAGGGACCTCCCCGGCTGAGATGATCTCACGTGGCATGGGTGACCTCTCCTGGGAGGGCTAAGGGTTACCACCAGGCCCCACTGCTGCCCCTTGGGTGTCAGGATCTCACAGACTGGAGCACATGCTGGCTCTCAACATTCCTGGAGAATCCTGCAGGATCTGAGCACAGGCTGTGCAGGGTTAAGAACAGGTATGAGTCCCACCCCAGATGTCAGAAAGGGGAAGACTGTTGTGGGAGTGCAGACTGCACACCCGTGACGGCCACTGGAGCTCTCTGCTGCACAGGTGCCCTGCCGGGCCCCACTGCAGATGTGAGGAAGAAGCACCATAGTAAGGCCTGCCTGGGCCAGAACAGAGCCCAGCCCAGGAGAAGGCTTCCGTTCTGCCCCCAGAATTGAGGTTGGGGCCAAGGAGGCCATGAGCCTGAACTCTACCCCTCTGCCTCTGCCTTGTGGATTAGAGAGGCCCCCTCAACACTGGCTGAGATCTCTGTGACCAGAGTACCCTGCATGGACAGCTCTGGATATGAACATGGAACGTTATCCCAGAGTACTCATGGGGTTGTACATCGAATATGCCAGGAGCACCTCAAATAAGGAGCGTTGTCTGGAAGAGAGGACAGAGGCTCTCAGTGTGGATCTGCCTAATAGAGCCTGACAGCCACACGCAGGGCCCATGACACTCTGCTCATGAGCAGTGATGTCATCAGGGCACCTGCGTGTGCTCCATCATGTGGGTGAGCGCTGCCTGCAGGGACACACACACCTCTCAGGGTGCAGTCATGTGCAGTTTCGTTTCCCCAGGTGGGTGTTCATTGCACAGGTGAGTGTCCCACTGTGCGAGGTGCAGTCCCGTGGGTCTAAGCCGTGGAGAGTCAGCCTCCCATGCACGTTCAGCCTGGTAGGGAGCAGCTCCTGTCACCTATGTGTTCCCCACGGGCCCTCAGTGGCCAACTCCCCACCTCCCCCAGCCCGTGGTCACCACTGCCCTGTTGTGTGTCCCAGGGTTTGGCCTCTTGCAGATGTCCTGTGAGTGGATCATAGCATCTGTAGCCTTTGAGGGATGCTTCCTCTCTTAGCAGGATGCACCTGAGATGCATCCAGGTCAGCCCAGAGCCGAGCCTCGTCCTGCCTCTCACTGAATCCTGTTCTAGGATTCAGCTGTGACACGGTTGCTTATCCATTTCCCCACTGGGCATCATGCAGGCTACTCCTGTGTCCAGTGACTGTGAACACAACCGTGAATCTTGCATGAGGGTTTTCTGTGCACTCAGCTGTTCTAGTGGTTGTGTACGTGTACCTGTGTGCTGGGGGTTTGTGTGGAAGGTTTGTGTCTCTCATTGTGAGAAACGGCCCTGGGTGCTGCCGAGGGCCTGGGCCACTGTGCTCTGTTCCTGCAATGAACCAGAGTGGTGTGCACCTCACATTGTCCCGAGCACCCGGCATCCTCAGTGATTTTAGTTCCCCCGATCTCACAGCTGTGTGCTGGTGCCCCATTGTGCTTTAGGTGCTAAGCGTGTGTTCATGCATTGAGAATTGTGTGTGCTGTCGTGAAGGGGCCTTCCTGAGCCATGGCCCATGTCAGGGCAGGAAACCCTCATTTGCTTTCTTGTTATTGAGAATTATGAACTTCATTTTCTGTATTTTGCAAATACTGTCTCCCCTTGTGTTTCTTTTCATTTCATTCCCACCAAAGTGTCTTTGGGAAAGCAAACTGTTCAGTATAAATAGAAGGCCATGGATCCATTTTTTTCTGTCCTAGAGCAATTATGCTTTAGGTTTGAGCCCTAGTCTCTCCTAGGTACCCCATGTGTCCCAGGACCCTTGCACCTCCCTCCCCCAGGGCCCCTCTAGCCCAGAGGCCTCACTTGGCTCCATATCTCTCTCAGAACATCACTGTGACTTCTGAACATGCATGCCACCTCTTCATCGATCTGTTGGACCTGATCTGAGCATAACCTGGCCGGTTCCTTCATCTCCTGCAGGACAGGGCTGAGGGGGAGGGGCCGGCCTCAGGACCAGCCAACCCCCACTGCCACACAAGCACCCCAAAGCCACATCAGCTCTTCTGGTTGGCAGGCAGAGCTCCCCCTTGGGGAAGCTGGTTCCCCTGATCCAGGGAGGGTCATGGGTTCCCCATTCACCTTAGTGCCCACGCCACCCCCAGTTCCCAGCAGAGGGGGCCACTGAGGACCTGCTACAGTCAGCCTGAGGCCAGGGGCTCTGCCAATGTCCTTCTGCACTACTTCTGCCTCCCGCAGCAGGAGAGACCAAATCAGGCCTCCGAGCCTCCTCACTGGCCTCTCAGGCCCCACAGGACAGGAGTCAGCCTCACCCTGACCAGCCTTCAGGATGCCCCCTGCAGGAGAGCCCCATCACCACCAAGAAATTGGATGCCCTTCTTGGACTTGGGGCTGCCCCCAGGGGCAGCCCCCACTTGAAGACTTGGGGGAGGGCAGGGCTGGCGGCTCAGTTGCTCCTTGCTCCCTGACGTCAGCCAGGGAGGTGACAGTCAGCCCTGGGCCAGCCCTCTGATAGATCAGCCCTCATTCCCAGAAGCAGTTGAGAGCTGACTGACCGATGGAACCAGCAGGCCTGGTGGGGGCTGGGTGAGCTGAGGCCTAGGCCAGGCATGAGAAGGCCCAGGTGAGGGCAGGGCCCGGCGAGCATAAGAAACACACATGCAGGGTCAGGTGTGGGGAGGGCTGTTTGGGACAGGGCCAGCTGAGGGCCCTAGCACACAGGACTTCCACCTCATTCCAGGCTGTCTCTATCCATCCAGGACCCAGCACAATGGCATTGGGCAGTCCAGGGCCTAGAGGCAAGGCGGGACCATAGGGATGAGGGCTGTGGTCCTGACCAGATCCTTGTGTCCAGACCCATTTGTGTGTTGGGAGACGTGGAGGAGGACTCTGGGGAGACATGTGTGAGGTAGAGGGGAGGGCCGGGTGGGGGCCCCAAGCAAATGACCACTCCTCCTTGCCATTACTTGTCCACCACGCGGGAGCCTTGGGCTCCTCATCATTCCCGAATGGGTCGGCTGCCTCGGGTTGCACGCAGAGCCATACCTCGAATTTGCTAGGGTTCTGGGCCTTCCTGGTATCCACAGAGAGCAGCATGGCCCACACCTTGCCGCTCACCTGGGCGGGGATGCCTTTCTCAATTCTCCGGTGGAACTACTACTAAAATGGCCATCAACTCCACAGCAAATGTGTGAGAAACACACATTTTTCAATTTATTGGTATTTATTTGCATTCTACTGTTTGCTAGGAAGTCTGCAGGGCCAGGAGACTAAAGAGAAACCTTTCATGCCCATGACCTTCAGGTGATGAGGTGAGGATGGCTGCAGTGAGGACTGGGAAGAAACTGAAAGGCAGGACAATGCCATGGCTGTGTGGCTTTAGGGGGTGCAGGGAGGCCTCATGGCCCCCGTGTCTGGGGAGAAGTTTCTCCAGGGGTTGGTGAGTGCTGCATCAAGGTAGGGCAGGACAGCAGAGGGGGACACTTGGGTGGGTTCCTGGGCACAGGAGGGGCCCCTTGCAATGAGGAAGTGGAACAGAGAGTGATGTGGTGCATGTGTGGGTGATGGGGACTCTGGACTCTGTGGTACCAGGCAGGCTGCAGATGAGACTTGGGTTGTCACTGCCCTGGCCATGATGGGGTGAGCAGGAGAGGCCTGTCCTGGGGCCTGACCTAGGGCAGGGAGGGGCTGGAGACAGGTGCATCTTTTGTTCCTCCTCATCCACCTCCAGGGTCCTGACAGAGGAGGAGATGGCCAACAGGTGGGATCGTCACCTGACAGGAGGGGACAGAAGCCACATTGCAGAGGTGAGTTCATCCCTCCCCCTGGGCATCCTCCATGCTGGGCCACATTAACAGGGGCTGTGCAGCCAGCTGCCTTGTCACCCAGAGCAGGATTCATCCTGGGTGCCTCCTGAACCCATCAGCCTGGGGCCATTGTCTCGGCCTCCCCCATGCACACTGAACTGAGGGCAACAGGAGTTCTTGAAGGAGTGTAGATTCCTGCCTTGCCATGGGGCTATGCCTGCTGCAAGCCCACCTCCACTGCACCAAAGCAGCCCAGCAAGGCGGGGTGGGAAAATGGGGGGACACTTGGTGCCATCTCAGTGTAGCCTGCATGCTATGAGGTGACAGTGACAAGGACTGGGTGCTTCAGGCATGGAGCTTCCAGTCCCGGGGAGGCCTGAAGCACACCCACCTTGGGCACACATGTGTGATGCACACAGAGAAATACATGCGCACCCCACAGTAGAAGACAGCTCCCCCTCCCCGGAGTAGGCAGCGAGGAAGCAGCAGGAAGGCAGCCTAAGCTGGAACCCTTGAGACTGGGCCAACCCTGCTGGGGTCCCTGGGCTCTGCAGAGCCCACAGTAACCACCAGCAGCCCAGGGGCTGGAAGGACTGAGCTGCCGCTGGCAGTGACCCCTGCATCCCTCAGGGGTGGGTGTCCCGGTGATCAGCACCCTGGGGAGCTGCAGGCCTGTGGCTGCTCCTGCCGGACGTGTGCTGTCCCTCTCTTTATGGTCAGCAGCAGCCCGGTGTTACCAGCATGTGGCTCAGGAGCTGGTGCCCAGGAGTTCTCAGTGCTCTGTGCCTGAAGCCCTGGTCCGTGTCCAGGACAGGGCCCTGGCTCCTGCTCTGGACAGCCTGGGCCACGCTGGCTTGAGGTTCTATGCAGGTGGTGCTCAGCGGGCTGCTCCCCTCCCCCCACCCCAGGAGGACGCCGGTGTCCACCTCCTACAACTCCTGGGAAGATGGAGTGGAACAGAGCAGGAGGGGACAGCGGATGTTGGCAGTGCTGGGGTGGGGCCTGTGGTAGGACAGGAGGCTGCAGCCCTGGGACTCCCAGTTCTGGTCATTGCAGGGGCAGCCCCCAAGTGTGGGTACCTCAGGAAGATAAACAGGCAATGATGGGGCTCCCCGTGCCACCTTGTGTTCAAATAAAGAGGACTTCACAGTGGTGCTATAATAAAATGGCAGAGGAAGAAAGGAGGGGCAGGAGGTGCAGGTTGCCTGGGACTTGGGACCGTTACGGCAGGTGGCAGAGGGCCCTGGCACCCCTGGTTCCAGGGCAGTTTTGCCAGAGCCCTGCCCTCTTCACCTGGGCCCTGGGGAGAACACAGGCCCCACTTTTGGTGACCTTAAATGAAGCCAGGGCTGAGGACCCTGACCCCTGCCACACAGAGCCACTTGGGATTGGCTGGCAGGATTCTGTGACATCACAGTCACTGAGAACTGTGCACTCTGGGTTGTCGGCAACCAGTGGCCAGTAGTGCTTCTACTGCTCAACTGACCAGGTGTTGGTAGCGTAGGCAGAAGGCACATTTGATAGAATCCTGTGGATTCTCGACGGAGGTGAGTGGGACTTGCTCTACGCATGAGCTGTGATGTGGGGAAGGTCACGCCAGGTGGGTGGCACTGGTCTCCCACGCCGGGTTCCATGGACGATGTGGCTGAGCTCTCAGTGGGCCCCTGTGTGCAGAGCATGTATACAGTTGTCTCATTTTTCCTGCTGTGCTGGTCACCAGTGCCAAATGTGCCTCGTTGTGAGTCTGTGTCTGAGCATGGGTTCAAGACTAAGTATCGGGTCAGCTGGTACCAGGTGGGGCAATGAGGCTGGATCTAAGAGCTCCAGAGATGTGGGAGCCAAGAGCGGGTCAGGGAGACCCTTAGACTTGGGCTCCCTGGAGGACACGTGGATGCCAGGCTGGGGGTGGCGCATCATACCTGACGGCAGGGGAGGTGAATCAGGGGGGTGTCCTTCCCCACCTGTCCCTAGTCCCTGTGCTCTGGAGGAGTCATCCTCCTGGGACCCGGCCACCAGGTGCCTGTCCGCCTGTCTGTGTGGCTGTCCCCCCCTACGATGGGGTCAGACCTCAGGGCAGCAGTTCCCATGGGCTCCCCGTGCTGGCTCACAAGTGTGTGTGTCTTACAGATTGGATTTGGACGCCCTGAGGTCTGGCAGCGCCCAGGAGTGAGCAGCAATCATCATGAAATATGAGAAGGTACTGGCCAGGGTGCTGGGAGAGGAGGTGGGGCCCTGCCTCAAGTACTGTGCTATGAGAGCCAGACCCGGCCTCCCTGGGGACACAGTGGGGAAGGTGGCTCAGCTCCCCCAGTGCTCCCCCAGTCCCCAGTGACTGAGACCCAAGCTTCTCACCTGGGCCCCCTCTCCCCTGCAGGAACCCCGTAAAGGGGCCCAGTTTCAGCTGGAAGAAGAGGATGACGAGAGTGGAGCCCTCATCCCAGATTTGGATTCCTGCGGTGAGTTTTCTGCACCCTGATCCACCCAGGAGAGGGACCAGGGTCAGAAACCCCACCATTAGGTAGCACACCTGTCCCCAGTCCCCCTCCTTGATCCAAGCTGTCGTCACAGTGCAGGCACTGGTCAGAGCTTGGCCAGAGCCGAGTGACCCTGTGACTCAGGACTGCAAGCAGGGGGCACTCTTACTCTGAGGCCTCTGTTCATGTTAAGTTGAGGGGTGGCCTGAGGGTCCTGCTGTGCTCCCAGGGGACACAACTGGGTCATCAGCACTCCAGAGCTGTGGCCACAGGTTCAAGGAAGCACCCTAGAAGGTGGGCAGTTGTCCAGGAGGTACCTGGGTCTCAGGGGCCAAGCTAAAGGCTTTTTAAGGCCTGGCCTGAAGGACAGTCAGGGGTGTGACCTCAGGGCTCCGAACCTGCCTGCAGGCTTCCCCAGTACAGACCAGGGCAGAGGGGTTTGCAGCAGAGGGCCCTGCCCCCGGGTCTGTGCTGGGAGGAGTGGGGCCGGGGGCACGAGTCAGACTTGGAGGCTGTTCCCACAGATGTCAGAGAGAGCTGCCCCATGGCTGGAGGGTGGGCTCCGGTGACCTAGAGGGATGGAGCCGTCTCGGGGCGTCTCTGGCGTGACTCAGCAGCCCACCTTAGCATGGGATAGGGGGTTCTGGCTCCATGTTGTGTCAGAACCTGGAGAAAAAGCAGGAGCCAAGTGGTGGAGAGATGGCCACGATCCGGGCTGTCAGAGGAGGGTGATGGGTTAGCAGGCACCTCAGACGGCCAGTAACGGGGGGGAGGGTGGATGCAGGGACTCTGGGGGTGTGGTGGTCCCAGGTGCCTCGAGCCCCAGCTGCACACTCACAGCACTGGCAGCAAGGGCTTCTGCCTGGCACTGGGCTCCCTGTGCTCACAGTCACAGCCCCTGCTGGGTGTCTGCCTACCGCATGGCTGTCACCTCCCTGCCCTTCTCTGTGCCCTGGGCTGCACCTCAGCAGGGTGAGGAGGACATGGGTCCTGTCCCAGCCTTGCTGGGGAAGTGGACCATGCGTGGTTCAGTGCCCTTTCTCATGGTGTTGTCTCTCTGTAAGCAGAAGCCGCCCAGGCATGGATGGCTGGCAGTGCAATGGGTAAGCTGACATTGGCCATGGACTCTTCATCTAGGAGGCAGAACTAGCAGGCCTGTGTGTATGGGCAGTGGTTAGAGGAGTGCTATATGGTCCTCCAGGGACAGCAGTCCCCAGGAGATCTGTTGAGGCCCACATGCCCCAGTGCAGGCCTGCAGCTCTGGGGTCCCTGCCTGTGGGCCACTGTGACCCACTTGCCTGGATGAGATGGGACTGGCTTGAGGATGCTTGTCCTGTGGACAGAGCTCAAGCCCCTAGGCTCCCCTAGTTGGAAGGTCTGGGTGCCGTGGTCTGCCCCTTTGCTGGCTCCTCCCAGCTGAATTGTCCACAGCCTCCTGAGCTGCACCCATGGCCTCTCTCAGAGGACACTGCTGGGCTCACGCCATCCTGTCTCCATTCCCAGCGTAAACATCAGGAGGGCCGCCGACTGCAAAAATGGAACAAGGTTCTGTGAAATTTCACCAAGTACCGCAGCAGCAAGAAGGTGCTGTGGACCTGAGGGCCCCTGGGGACCACTGGGGGCAGAGTTGGGATGGACAGTGCCCATTGCTGTGCCTCTCAGACACAACTGTCCAGCCCTGAAAGGATACGGGTCATCTCAGCCCCACGCCCATGCACCAAGGCACTGTCGCAGTAGAAGATCCAAAGTCTCCCCTGGGGCCACTCCCAGATGCAGGGCAGGCACAGTTCCCGGTGCCCTGTGGGGGCAGTGAGCGCATGACAGAGCCTGCATTGAGCCCTCGGCCCTCCTCTCACTGTTGGGTCAGGAGGCCCAGGTCCAGGCAGATCTGGGGACACAGCACAGAGCCCAGGGCTCCCCTTCCTGTTGTCTCACCCTGCGCTCCCCCCTACAGAGGGCCCTGGGTGGGTCTCACGAGAGCCTCCTCTCTTCTGTAGTTCCACTGGAGAATTGAGAAAGGCATCCCCGCCCAGGTGAGCGGCAAGATGTGGGCCATGCTGCTCTCTGTGGATACCAGGAAGGCCCAGAACCATGGCAAATTTGAGGTATGGCTCTGCGTGCAACCCGAGGCAGCCGACCCATTCGGGAATGATGAGGAGCCCAAGGCTCCCGCGTGGTGGACAAGTAATGGCAAGGAGGAGTGGTCATTTGCTTGGGGCCCCCACCCGGCCCTCCCCTCTGCCTCACCCACGTATCCCCAGAGTCCTCCTCCATGTCTCCCCACATGCAAATGGGCCTGGACAAAAGGATTTGATCAGGGCCACAGCCCTCATCCCTGTGGTCCGGCCTTGCCTCTAGGCCCAGGACTGCCCAGTGCCATTTTGCTGGGTCCTGGATGGATAGAGACAGCCTGGAATGAGGTGGAAGTCCTGTGTGCTAGGGCCCTCAGCTGGCCCTGTCCCAAACAGCCCTCCCCACACCTGACCCTGCATGTGTGTTTCTTATGCTCGCCGGGCCCTGCCCTCACCTGGGCCTTCTCATGCCTGGCCTGGCCTCAGCTCACCCAGCCCCCACCAGGCCTGCTGGTTCCATCGGTCAGTCAGCTCTCAACTGCTTCTGGGAATGAGGGCTGATCTATCAGAGGGCTGGCCCAGGGCTGACTGTCACCTCCCTGGCTGACGTCAGGGAGCAAGGAGCAACTGAGCCGCCAGCCCTGCCCTCCCCCAAGTCTTCAAGTGGGGGCTGCCCCTGGGGGCAGCTCCAAGTCCAAGAAGGGCATCCAATTTCTTGGTGGTGATGGGGCTCTCCTGCAGGGGGCATCCTGAAGGCTGGTCAGGGTGAGGCTGACTCCTGTCCTGTGGGGCCTGAGAGGCCAGTGAGGAGGCTCGGAGGCCTGATTTCGGTCTCTCCTGCTGCGGGAGGCAGAAGTAGTGCAGAAGGACATTGGCAGAGCCCCTGGCCTCAGGCTGACTGTAGCAGGTCCTCAGTGGCCCCCTCTGCTGGGAACTCGGGGGTGGCTGTGGGCACTAAGGCGAATGGGGAACCCATGACCCTCCCTGGATCAGGGGAACCAGCTTCCCCCAGGGGGAACTCTGCCTGCCAACCAGAAGAGCTGATGTGGCTTTGGGGTGCTTGTGTGGCAGTGGGGGTTGGCTGGTCCTGAGGCCGGCCCCTCCCCCTCGGCCCTGTCCTGCAGGAGATGAAGGAACCGGCCAGGTTATGCTCAGATCAGGTCCAACAGATCGATGAAGAGGTGGCATGCATGTTCAGAAGTCACGTGATGTTCTGAGAGAGATATGGAGCCAAGTGAGGCCTCGGTGCTAGAGGGGCCCTGGGGAGGGAGGTGCAAGGGTCCTGGGACACATGGGGTCCTAGGAGAGACTAGGGCTCAAACCTAAAGCATAATTGCTCTAGGACAGAAAAAAATGGATCCATGGCCTTCTATTTATACTAAACAGTTTGCTTTCCCAAAGACACTTTGGTGGGAATGAAATGAAAAGAAACACAAGGGGAGACAGTATTTGCAAAATACAGAAAATGAAGTTCATAATTCTCAATAACAAGAAAGCAAATGAGGGTTTTCTGCCCTGACATGGGCCATGGCTCAGGAAGGCCCCTTCACGACAGCACACACAATTCTCAATGCATGAACACGCTTAGCACCTAAACCACAACGGGGCACCAGCACACAGCTGTGAGATCTGGGGAACTAAAATCACTGAGGACGCCGGGTGCTCAGGACAATGTGAGGTGCACACCACTCTGGTTCATTGCAGGAACAGAGCACAGTGGCCCAGGCCCTCGGCAGCACCCAGGGCCGTTTCTCACAATGAGAGACACAAACCTTCCACACGAACCCCCAACACACAGGCACATGTACACAACCACTAGAACAGCATGAGTGCACAGAAAACCCTCATGCAAGATTCACGGTTGTGTTCACAGTCACTGGACACAGGAGTAGCCTGCATGATGCCCGGTGGGGAAATGGATAAGCAACCATGTCACTAGCTGAATCCTAGAACAGGATTCAGTGAGAGGCAGGACGAGGCTCGGCTCTGGGCTGACCTGGATGCATCTCAGGTGCATCCTGCTAAGAGAGGATGCATCCCCCAAAGGCTACAGATGCTATGATCCACTCACAGGACATCTGCAAGAGGCCAAACCCTGGGACACACAACAGGGCAGTGGTGACCACGGGCTGGGGGAGGTGGGGAGTTTGGCCACTGAGGGCCCGTGGGGAACACATAGGTGACAGGAGCTGCTCCCTACCACGCTGAATGTGCATGGGAGGCTGACTCTCCACGGCTTAGACCCACGGGACTGCACCTCGCACAGTGGGACACTCACCTGTGCAATGAACACCCACCTGGGGAAACGAAACTGCACATGACTGCACCCTGGGAGGTGTGTGTGTCCCTGCAGGCAGCACTCACCCACAGTGATGGAGCACACGCAGGTGCCCTGACTGACATCACTGCTCATGAGCAGAGTGTCATGGGCCCTGCGTGTGGCTGTCAGGCTCTATTAGGCAGAACCACACTGAGAGCCTCTGTCCTCTCTCTTCCAGACAACGCTCCTTATTCGAGGTGCTCCTGGCATATTCGATGTACAACCCCATGAGTACTCTGGGATAACGTTCCATGTTCATATCCAGAGCTGTCCATGCAGGGTACTCTGGTCACAGAGATCTCAGCCAGTGTTGAGGGGGCCTCTCTAATCCACAAGGCAGAGGCAGAGGGGTAGAGTTCAGGCTCATGGCCTCCTTGGCCCCAACCTCAATTCTGGGGGCAGAACGGAAGCCTTCTCCTGGGCTGGGCTCTGTTCTGGCCCAGGCAGGCCTTACTATGGTGCTTCTTCCTCACGTCTGCAGTGGGGCCCGGCAGGGCACCTGTGCAGCAGAGAGCTCCAGAGGCCATCACGGGTGTGCAGTCTGCACTCCCACAACAGTCTTCCCCTTTCTGACATCTGGGGTGGGGCTCATACCTCTTCTTAACCTGGCACAGCCTGTGCTCAGATCCTGCAGGATTCTCTCCAGGAATGTTGAGAGCCAGCATGTGCTCCAGTCTGTGAGATCCTGACACCCAAGGGGCAGCAGTGGGGCCTGGTGGTAACCCTTAGCCCTCCCAGGAGAGGTCACCCATGCCACGTGAGATCATCTCAGCCGGGGAGGTCCCTCCAATGTGCTTTGTGCTCCTATAGGACTTGGGCTACAGCCAGGGCCTAAGCCACGTGGTGGCCCTGTTGCTGATGTGGCTGAGTGAAGAGGATGCTTTTTGGGCCCTGGTCCAGCTCATGTAGGGCAACCAGCATGTGATGCATGGTGGGTGATGGGTGTGGTGGGTGTGGTTCGTGCAAGTGCATGGATGGGCATGCAGACAAGTGACTGAGACATTGTCCCTCACTGGCTGCTGTGTGCATGGGGCGGTCTCCCTCAGGGTGGTTCCTTAGAAGCCAGGGCCAGCAGAGGGCCCAGTACCAAGCCATACACCTCACTTCCCATCATCCAAAGGTCCTGTGCCTTGTCTTTGACAAATGACCCTTAGGTCTCTACTGGTGTTACTGCTTCACATGTCTATCCAGATTCCCACCCACTGAGCCACACCCGGACTTGTAGAAGGAGCATCCATCTGTAGGGTGATCCCCTCCTCACTCCTGAGTGTCCAGATGGCCCTGAGGCACCCAGTGTGACTGCAGTCAGCCCAGAGGTCACCTTAAGCAGTCTGCCCTGGGCTGTCAGCTGTACCCCTCTTCCCCTGAGGCTCCCCTGCCTGTTAGAGCCTCCCCTGACCCTCCGTGTTCAGAAAGACCCCACCCCAAGCCTTTGGCTTTCCACCCTTCCTGGGAAGACACTCTGAAGTGAGGGCTGGGGGGTTGCTATTACACAGATTTCTACACACCAGACTCCCCAAAACTGGAGTGATTCCAGCACCACCTGGGAGATATCATGCATCGCGTGCTCCCCTCCCTGGAGAAACACCTGGTAAGTAAAGCATCTCCTTTCTCCTCTCGGGGGCTCTGTGCTCAGGGAGGGGAGGACAGAAAGGGGTCCTGACTGCTTCCTGGGCCAGGGGAGGCTATGTACTCACCAAGACTTTCCTTGGCTACTGGGGTCCACGGAAGCTTGGGTGTTGGTTTGTTTTCCAGCACTTGGTCCCCCAGAGTTTGTGTAGATTGAAGGGAGATGCTGTCCCCAGAGCAGAGTGGAATGAGGGACCTGTGTCCCTTCAGGAACCTGCAAGGCTGGGAGGGGAGATGCACCTGCTGCTGGGCTTCCTGCACCCAGGGGCTCTGCCACAGGGCTCAGAGTAGAGGGAGTCCGGCCTGGGCCCTGGGCCCTGAGCCCCCTCTGCCTCTTCTTAGGAGAAGGAGGGTGTGTACCTTGAGGACTACACCACCCACTGGTACATCCAGTGCTTCCTGGGTGGGGTAAGTGCCCCAGGGACCCCTTCCCAGGGAAGCTCCTGAGCCAGTGCCTGACTCTCTTATCCTGGAGGCCTGTGACTCTGAGCAGGGCTGAGCTCCCCCAGCCCCAGCAGACACAGGAGGGAGCCTGCTGTGCAGACCAGACAGGCCCTGTCCTGCTGAGGGTGGTCCAAGCTGAGGCTGAGCCTCAGGGCCAGCAAGGAGGGGACAGGCCCCACCAGGACCCATCCTGAGAGCCTGGCAAGGCCCAGAGCCCTACAGTGAGAGGCAGGAGATACATAGACCCACGTTGGCACAGGCTAGTGTCAGCACAGCCCAAGGGCTGATCCATCCCCCAGCTCCCTGGGAGTCTGGCATCTCCAGTGTGGCTTACAAAGTGTGCAGAGCAGTCTGGGTGGCCCCAGGGTCCTAGATAGTCCTTGGCGCTCTCTCTCTGGGTGTCTAGGCCACAGCTAGGATGCCCTATGACACCACACACCCACCCCCTGTGGGCCCTGCTGAGGCCCTGATTGGCATGGTCCCCCAATGCTTGCTCTCCCCCCCAGGTGCCGTTCCCCCTGGCACTTAGGATGTGGGATATCTACATCCTTGAGGGTGAACACGTACTCACCATGATGGCCTATACGGTCCTCAAGATCCATCAAAGTAAGTCCTCAGGGCCCACTGTGGCCATGGTGCTGGGGATGGAGGAGTTGGGGGTCCCATGCCTGGCTCTGGTAAGCAGAACCTAGGGGAGGAATGAGTTTTCTGAGTCCTTGTCTGGCTTGGGGGGCATTGAGAATCCCATTTCATCCCCAACACCAAAAACTCAGAGTCCACAGGGAGAAGTGTCCAAGGTCATTCCCCAGGAAAAGTGGCCCCTGGTCAGTCCCCTCTAGTGCTTGATATGCATGGGCATCCAAGGGGGTCTGCAGCCCATGTCTGGTGCAGGGACAGGGGCTGGAGCAGCCATGGTGGCTGCACCATCCCTATGGTGCCTCCCAGCCTGACACCCACCCCCATGTCTAGAGCCCGTGTTGAAGATGCCCCAAGACCATATCCAGGAGTTCCTGCATGTGCTCCTTCCCCAGTGCCTGGCTCTCTTGACCTGGTGTCCTGTGACTCTGAGCAAGGCTGAGCTCCCCCAACCCCAGCAGACACAGGAGGGAGCCTGCTGTGCAGACCAGGCAGGCCCTGTCCTGCTGAGTGTGGTCCAAGCTGAGGCTGAGCCTCAGGGCCAGGAAGTGGGGGACAGGGCCAGGGTCAGGGGTTGGAGCAGGAACAAGGGTTGGAGCAGCCATGGTGGCTGCTCCTCCTAGCCTGATGCCCACCCCCACTTCTAGAGCACCTGCTGAAGATGTCCAGGGACCACATCCATGGGTTCCTGCAGGTGACCCTGAGGCAGGCCTGGGCATTGAGCGAGGATGTGGTCATCAGGCAGCTGCGGGCCTCCATGCGTGAGCTGGGGAAGCTCCAGTGCCTCCTGCCTCCCAAAGGTGTGTCCAGCACATGGCCCCATCCCATTCTCCCTTGGAGGAGTCAGTAGTGGGAGTGGCAGCCCCACCCAGGGCCTCACCTCTTCCTCATCCTCCTTGTCCTCCCCAGGCTCAGCAGCTCTGCTTTCAAAAGCTCTGACTTCATGGCCTGGCGGGGCCTTGGGCAGCTTCCCTGAATCCTCCTGCAGGGTGGTCCAGCTGGTACTGGATCCCCTTCAGCCATCTGAGGACCCCTGGAAGGCCCAGCTGCCCTGAGCCCAGTTGTGGGGGCCTGGTACACTCCTGTGAGCAGGGTGGGTGCAGAGGCAGGCACTGCAGGCCCCTGTGGCAGAACCCAAGTGCAGCTGAGTGTGGGTTCTGCAGTCCTAGCCTCGGGCCAACACGAGCAGCGCTGGCCTGTGGGCTCTGGTGGGGAGGGTTCCCCGTGCTCGTCCCCTGCTGCTGCTGCCATCAAGGGCCTGAGATCCTGGGTCCCCATGAAGAGCAGAGATGGGTCTGTCCCAGCTCTAGAGGCTGGCAGTGGGGGCCCAGGGGCAGGCTGTTCAGGCACTGGGGTGGCCCCACTGTGCTTCCAGGTGCTGCCTCCCCTGGGAGCTCGTGGGACAGAAGCGTTGACAGCCCAGTCTCACCAGGAAAGGGAGAGTGGCCCAGGGGCTGAGGACACAGGGAACCCCTCCCACCTCTTTAGAAACCACATTCCCTGTCCCCGAGGGCCTGAACGAGTCTCCATGTCTCTCCCACAGCCCCAGCACTCACCCCCATCATCTTAGGCTCAGTTCCTTTTCTACAATTTAGGAGGGACTCAGATGCGGGTAACTCAGCCAATGCCTTATAGGGCACAGGAGGTCAGGTGGGGTAGGTGACAGGGTCCTGAGTTGGTGCCAGTGGTCCCCACAGATGAGAGAGTGAGTGGGGGGATCAAGGAGTGTCCAGCCCATGGAGCCTTGCAGGAAGAACCAGAGGTGTCCTCGGCACTCCCATGGCCCAGGCTGCACGCACCATTCCCTCTGGGGCCCACAGGCTGGAGGTGTCCTGAGTGTCACACCGAGCGATGGGGACCCCTAGGGTCAGATTGGGGCAGGCACCCTGCAGGCCAGATGGTGGCCACGGAGAAGCAAACCCATCTGTTCTTCTTCCAGCAAAGCCAATGGAAGATTGCAGCCCGGCCCTGCAGGTGCCGCCTGGCTCTCAGGAGCGCGCTCCCCCACCAGTGTCCCTCAAGTGCAAGACCATTGTTGAGGAGAGCAAAGGCTACCACCCCACTGCTGCAGCTCCCCAGGAGCCAGTGGGGGCTTCAGCTTCTGTCCCCGAGGAGACCGGTCCTCTCAGATCTACCTTCCAGCCCGACTCCAAACAAGATACCAAGGAGGAGAAGGGCAGTCATGGTTAGAGCAGCACCCAACCCTGCAGCCTGGGCTCCTCCACAGGTGCCTCAGGGTCAGGGGGTGCCCCTCACCTCTCGGGCCCCCAGTGCTCCTGGCTGGCTGAGCCAGGCCCCCTCTGGCGCTGGACTTCCCTGATCAAACTCAACGTGACCTTCAAAGATGACAACCCCGACTCTGACGATGAGGAGTACTCCAGCTGCCTGGAGGAGCAGAAAGAAGATGAAGAGGAGGAAGAAGACCGGGCTGCTGAGTGCCCTGGGTCTCCCTGGCCAAAGCTGCTGCGGGACCAGGGATTCGTGCAACCTGAGACGATTTTGGAAGAGGACGAGGAGGGAGGCCATGAAGAGGGCGCCTCCCCAGAGCCCTCATCCCCAGCCCTGTCTGTGAAGTCCTCAGAGTCTCTGCATGGCCCGGGCCTCCTGGCCCCACAGAGCTTGCAGAGCAGGGGAGACCTGTCCCGATGGGGGGGCCTCCCAAATCTCAGCCCGCCTGTCAAAGGTGCTGATTTCTGGCCCCTGGAGCTGGGTGGCCAGCAGGGTCTCAGGGCCCCTCCCCAACTTGCCTCAGAGCCCCTGGATCCTGGGTCCATGCAGGCTGTGCCAGCCCTGGGAGCAGGGCTGAACACTCCCTCCCTGCATGGGAGCCCCATGCACTCTGGGGACAGTCATGGGCTGGAGCCTGCAGGAGCCAGCCCTGCACTGGGAGACCAGGCCTGCGTGCCCTCCCTGGCTGGAGGCCTCATTGCTGCCCACTCCATGGAGCAGCTGGATGTGTGTTGGTGCCTGGAGGGGAAGAAGAGCCCAGCAGGTGTCCAGCTCCGACGGGCCAGAAGCCTAGCTTCTTTATACATGGCGGCCTCCATGATGGAGGAGGCTCCTCTCTAGAGCTCCTCTCCCCCTCTTTGAGTGGCCTCATCCTACCTCATCTTGGCCCGAGGATCCAGTCTTCTGTCACAATTGCTATGGGCACCCCTTCTGCCCTTTTGTTGATTGAATATTAAATCGTTTGTTTCAGAATGTGTTCGATCTGATTTTGTGACCCCTGGAGCTGAGCTGTCACAAAGGGTCCCTGAGTCCTTTGCAAGCAGTCAGAGACCCGGCTCAGGAGGTGCCACAGCCTCCAGCTGCAGTCAGAGACCTGGCTCAGGAGGTGCCACAGCCTGCAGCTGCAGCAGGGACCCAGCTCAGGGGGCTCCATCAGTTCCTGAGATTGACCTGTGCCCAGCGCACACCAGGGGAGGACTGGAGGAGCAGCAATGGCTGGGTACATGTGGCCTTTGGGACAGTTCAAGAGTGTGGGCCCAGCCAAGGGACCAGGCCCATGATCACCTGTGTGCACTGTCCTTAGTGTGTGGGCACCAGGTTCCTGCTCTTCTTCCCTCTTTCTTTGCCTTCCATCCTGCCCTGCCCCATCTCATAATCCAGCATCTCATGGCCTGTGCCCGCGAGAGGACCCCAGGGCACTTCTGACCACAGACCAGGATGCCAGCAGGTGGAGGCAGCCCCAGAATGTCCAGGTGGTCCTGGTGGCACACCTGGGTGGACAGATGCCCACATGCCCTCTAGTAGCTTAGGCCTCCTGGGCTGCTGTCACAGTGGGTTCAGCTTCTCCATGTCATGCTGTCATTAGGGGTCATTAGCATGGAGAATGTGTCCCCTTGTGTTGGGACAAGAGACTCCTGGCTCAGAGACTCCTGGTCTGGTGCCTCCACAGGGAAGGAGTCTGGAACCCTGCCTTGGGCAGAGATAGCATCCCAGTTCTCCAAGGGTCACAACACTTGTAGCATCTTCCTCAACCCACATGACCTCCAAAAGGCAACTAGGCCCTGTTCATCAGAAGCCACCTGGGTCATCCCAATGGGGCAGGTTAGGCCATAGCCACTTTCTCCTGGATCTGGAAGGCCCAGGATTCTCTAGGTGTTGTGTCTGATTTTGAGTTGACCACTCTGTACTGTGTTCTTGAATGAGCCATGGCTGTGTCAGTGACAGGACCCCAAGGGCTCAGAATCGCTGCTCCCCACAGGGTCCTTTTTGCAGAATCACACTGAGGCCAGAATCTGATGAGGTAGAGGGTGACAAGTGGCTACTGTGCTGATGAGTCATCTCTCCAGGCTGGAGATCCACAGCCATGAGCCAGTCCTGTGCCTGCCTCCATTCCCCAGTGCTCAAGGCTGGACCCCTTGGAGCTTTTAGCACTTCTCTCAGAAATTGAAAAAACTCATAACCGGCATTATGGTGTGTTGAATTCAACCTCTGCCTATGAATCTGGCATTTAAAATCTGGAATTTAAGAGTTACACAGAGAGAGGAGAGGCAGAGAGAGAGAGAGAGAGAGAGAGAGGTCTTCCATCCTCTGGTTCATTCCCCAAATAGCTGCAATGGCCAGAGCTGTGCCAATCCAAAGCCAGGAGCTTCTTTCAGGTCTCCCACATGGCTGCAGAGGCCTGAGGACTTGGGCCATCTTCTATTGTTTTCCCAGACCATAGCAGAGAGCTGGATAGGAAGTGGAGCAGCCAGGACTGGAACTAGTGAAGAACCAAAGTGACTCCATTTTTAAAACAATAAAAAAGCAGCCTCTGTTTCCCATAGCAGACCCGGGTCCTTGTAAAAGCAGGCATTCAGACATTCCAGAGATATCAAAGCTTACCAGGGACAGCTAGCTCGGCAGACCAAGGACAGCACAGTAGAGAATGCTGAACAAAGTAACTCCCTGTACCCAAAGCTTCTATGCTGTATGTAACTCTTTTTTCCTGCTGATGTAGCTCTTTTTTCCTTTAAAAACTCTCCCTAACAAAGACCGGGGCCTCACTCCTTCCTCTGCTGTGTCGGTTGGTTGGATGGGGTCCCTGTCACGGCTTGTACTCCCAAATAAACCTTGCTTTTGCAGTTCGGTGTGATCGACTCTCTGGGGGTCTCTGCGGGGATCTAACGATCTGGGCACCACATATTTTTTGGTGCCCAACACCAGCACCCATTTTTTTTAATGATTTTTATTTATTTGAAAGATGGAGTTACAGAGAGAGATAAAGACAGAGAGAGAGAGAGAGAGGTCTTCCATCTGCTGGTTCACTTCCCAAATGGCTGCAACAGCAGGAGCTGAGGCTATCTGAAGCCAGGAGCTTCTTGTGGGTCTCCCAGTGGGTGCAGAGGCCTGAGGACTTGGGCCATTTTCTACTGTTTTCCCAGACCATAGCATAGAGCTGGATCAGAAATGGAGCAGCCGGGACTAGAATCGGCACCCATATGGGATTCCAGCACTTCAGGCTAAGGCTTTAACCTGCTGCACCACAGCGCTAGCCCCACAAAGTTATCATTTTGTTATGGAGGATATTTAATGTTATTCTCTGATAATCAAGAGGTGATAGAGGTTATTGTCACTAGGTCTGTCCTACAAGAAAGGAAGTTTTTTCAACTGCAAGGAAGAGGGGCTGGTGCTGTGGCTCACTTGGTTAATCCTCCACCTGCGGCACTGGCATCCCATATGGGTGCTGGGTTCTAGTCCTGGCTGCTCCTCTTCCAGTCCTGCTCTTTGCTGTGGCCCAGGAGGGCAGTGTAGGAGGGCCCAAATGCTTGGGCCCTGCACCTGCATGGGAGACCAGGAGGAAGCACCTGGCTCCTGGCTTCGGATTGGCACAGCACCGGCTGTGGCTGCCATTTGGGGGGTGAACCAGCGGAAGGAAGACCTTTCTCTCTGTCTCTCTCTCTCACTGTCTAACTCTGCCTGTCAAATAAAAAAAATAAACTGAAAGAGATGCTAATAAGTAAGAAAAAATATTAGAATGTGGAAAACTCACTGGTACAAGTCAATAAATATACAAATTCAGAATGTTCCCATATTGTAAACAAGGAACATCCGCAATATGCTTAGTATGAAGAATAACAAGCAAAATAGTTAAGGATAATAACTCCATTAAAACATTACTATGCAATATAGAAATATTCAAATTTAGACACAAAAATTCAAAATGTAAGAAGGAAAGGAGTATAATTTTAGAGTTCTCTATTAGTATTTGTTTTATTTTTTTGTTTTTTTTTCTTATGTTTATAATCAACTACATGTCAAACAAACTTTTTATAAGCCAAAAATGTTTTATTAGTTTCATGGTAACCACAAAGAAAAACTCTATAATAACCAAAGCTAATAAGCGAGGAATTAAAACACACAAGTAGGTAAGATCATTTAGCCACAAAGAAAGGTTATAGAAAACAAAGACGGTCCAAGTCCTTGGGCCCCTGCACCTGTGTGGGAGACCTGGAAGAAACCACTGGCTCTTGGCTTCTGATCGGTGCAGCTCTAGCTGTCACAGCCATTTAGGGAGTGAACCATAGGATGGAAGACCTCTCTCTCTCTCTCTCTCTCTCTCTCTCTGCCTCTCCTCTCTCTGTGTAACTCTGACTTTCAAATAAATAAATCTTTTAAAAAAATCTTTAAAATTTGAGCAGGTGGTATTAAGGCCCATGATGCGGTCTATTTTGGTAAAAACTCCATGTGTTCATTATAAAAATAAATTCTGGAGATTATGGTGTAGTGATAATAATATATACATATATATAATAGGACAAGAAGGGTTCTACAGCTCTACTAATTAGTGTTATATATATGTACATATATATGATTTATTTATTTTGTATTTATTTTTTAAATTTTTTTGACAGGCAAAGTTAGACAGTGAGACAGAGAGACACAGAGAAAGTCTTCCTTCCATTGGTTCACCCCCCAAATGGCCACTACAGCTGGCGTGCTATGCCAATCCGAAGCCAGGAGCCAGGTGCTTCCTCCTGGTCTCCCATGCGGGTGCAGGGCCCAAGCACTTGTGCCATCCTCCACTGCCTTCCCAGGCCACAGCAGAGAGCCAGACTGGAAGAGGAGCAACCGGAACAGAACCGGCACCCCAACTGGGACTAGAACCTGGGGTGCTGGTGCCACAGGTGGAGGATTAGCCTAGTAAGCTGTGGCGCTGGCCTGATTTATTTGATAAGTAAGAGTTACATAGAGGAAGAGAGAGAG